GAGCGCACGCGCCCTATAGTGAAAAAATCACTCCAAAAAAAAAAAAGAAGTGGCAAAAAACAAAAAAAGAGTGAAGGCACAGATAGAAGGGAAAAGACTCAGAGACCCAGTCTTCTTTTTTTGTTTGTTTTTCTGTTAATATTATTGTTTTTAAAATTTTGCCATAGGGGTACCAGCAGTTGGCATAATGGCTATGTCACTGGACTCACATGTAGTCCACCGCGGTTCGAGTCCCGGACCCAGTGGCTTAAACTCACACTGGGCGCGTGTCCGTACATGCCCAAGATTCCGAGAGGAGAATGGAGCATGGCCATCCCCCTAGGGGGGTGATTTCTTGCTTTCTGTCTCTCTGTCTCTCTGTGTTTTCCTGGCAAGTGCATGGGCCTTAGCATGGGCCTTATAGCAAAACTCTCTCAAAAAAAAAAAAAGATTTTTTGCTAAAGGGCAGAAATCACACACACACACACACACACCCCATCCCACCCCCAGGGATAGCCACACTGCAATCCGATCTTGAGGCCACTGGGTTCCTGACTTGAACTGTGGACTTAGTCATGTGGGATCTAGTACCTTAACCACCATGTCTCCTGCTGGTCTGAGACATCTTTTTTTTTTTTTTTAATTAAAAAAAAAATTTTAAGGTTTTTCTTTAGAATTATTCATTTTATTTATCCATTCTTTTTCTTTTCTTTTTTTTTTTTTGGAGAGGTATTTTGCTATAGGGCACATGCACTCACCAGAAAGACAGAGACAGAAAGCAAGAAATCATCCCCCGGGGGGATGGCTATGCTGCAATCTCTTCTCCTCCGATCTCCTCTCGGGATCTTGGGCACACAAGTACATGTGCCCAGCATGAGTTTAAGCCTCTGGGTCCAGGACTCAAACTGTGGTCGACTACATGGGAGTTTAGCGACATAACCATTATGTCATCTACTGGTCCCTATTCATTCATTTCTTATTTTAATTCGACCAGAGAAAGACAGACACACAGAGAAAAGGAAAGTGAGAAAGCAAGCCACCAGGTCTGGGACTCGAACCATGGTAGACCATGTGGAAATGTCCAACACCTTAACCACCACGCCACCTCTATTTTTTTTTAATTATTTAATTTTATTCATTGTCATTATTTTTTTCTTTAAGAGAGATTTTTGCTATAGGGCACATGCAATTCCTAGACAGAAGGAGAGACAGAAGGTGAGAAATCACCCACTGGGGGGATGGCCACACCACAGTCCCTTCTCCTCCACTTTTCTTTTGGGATCTTGGACACACTGGGACACGTGCCTGACATGAATTCTAAGTTGTCAGGTCTTGACCCTGTAGGAGTCTGTGACATAACCATTACGCCATCTACTGGTCCCTTATTTTATTTTATTTTTTTGAAGTTGATCAGAGAGATAAAGAGAGAAAAGGAAAGTGAGGAAGCAAGCTGCCAGGTCCTGGACTAGAACTGAAGTCAGCCTTGTGGGAAACCAGCCTCCTTAACCGCCAGGCCACCTGCAGGCCCGAGACCCCTTCTTTAAGAGGAATGAAGGAACATTTTTCTCCCACCCCTATTACCACCAACTTTGCTTCTTCCCGGGGACATTCTTTTTTTTGGAGAGGCTTTCACTATAGGGCGCGTGCGCTCACCAGCAGACAAGAGAGAGACATAGAGACAGAAAGTGAGAAATCACCTCCCAGGGGGGATGGTCACGCCGCAATCCCTTCTCCTCCATTCTCCTCTCGGGATCTTGGGCACGCACGCACACGCGCCCGGCGTGAGATTTAAGCCACCGGGTCCGGGACACGAACCGCGGTAGACTACATGGGAGTCCAGCGACATAGCCATTACGCTAACTGCTGGTTCCCCTGGGGACTTTCTTTCCATCCTCTTCATTTCTCCCATCACAGAGGCCTGCCAGCTGTCCAGTGACTGACCTGTAACTTCATCTGCGCCCCCGGATGGATACAGTGGGAGCCGATGACGGGGACTGGGGCTGGGGGAAGGCTGGGAGCACCTGACTCCTATTCAAGAATAATAAAGGTAACTTTCAAACCCTCATCTCATTCTGGGGCTGTCTCCAGACATCCCATCTGCCCCATTCCTCCCACTTCAACACTCCCGTAGACGTAGACCCTGTACCACCGAGATGGGTGGAGTCAGGAAGAACACTGAATGGCGGTAGCTCTCTTTGTAGTGGTATATTTAGAATTCGGTGTGACACAGTTATTTATTGCTGAGTGAGCAAACCCCAGGCCCCTGAGTGGGGACTATAAGCTCCAGTGCTTCCCACACTGCCGTGTGAGCTGCCAGCCCTTCTGAGCTGACCCCCTCCCAATACTGCCCACACTGTCCCCACGCCCTCACTCCACAAGCCCAGATCCTCCCTGCGTGCTCCCTGCCAACCTCTGGGCTTCCATGCAGACCCTCGAATCCACCTGCCTAGCAGCCCTACTCGTTCCTAGATAGCTCCGATCCCAGGATCCCAGGACCCAAGGAATCCCTCGGGTCTCCCAGCCACCTTCTGACTGGCAGGCTGTCTACCTGCTTCTGCCCTCTTCTGCCCTGGGGAGTTCTGAAAGGTAGAGAGGACCGTTTGGTCTTTATTCTCCGCACCATCACACTTTTTTTTTTTTTTTAAGTGGAGGTGGAAAACAAAAACAAACACAAAAACTAGAGGTGGGAGAAATGTAAAAACAGAAAGTAGCAATAGCTGGTGAATCCAAGGTGGATACCCTCACTGCTCACAAACACAGACACCCTAAACTGCTCTTCCTCCTCCTGTATGTTCTTCCTACCCCCTCATCTCTGAGGGTTGTTCCCTGTCCCTGAGGTTCCTGTGCTTACAATCTGGATCATGCCCTCCACTCTCCTCCTAAAGGCCACACTGTCTACTCCCTTTGCCCCCACCCCACGCCACAGTCACAGCCCCTGCCCTGGACCTCCCCTCTGCTCCTCACCCTCCCTTCCCAGCCCCTCGCCCTCCCAGTCAGTGGCCTCCTCGTCACCATCGTGCTCCCGGAGGCTGACGGCCAGCACCAGGGCCTGCAGGAGGCCAAAGAGGCAGGCGAAATGCAGGGGGTGGGCAGTAAGTAGGCTCAGCACCGCATGGAGCCCGTGCAGGGCAGCCAGGAAGGACAGCAGCCCGTGCAGCCACAGGCCCAGTGGTCCTCGCAGGCCCAGGGCATCCAAGGCTGCTCGCAGTGGCCGTGAGCACAGCGCCAGCAGGGCTGAGGCCAGCAGCTCCAGCAGGTGCAGGGTCAGGTTGGTGGAGATCTGCAGACACTCCTCCGGGCCTCCCAGGTACCTAGGAGAAGCGCCAGGTTCCCCCCGCAGCCAGCTCAACAGCTTCTGGCGCCGGCCCGGTTTCTCCACTTCAGGCCCACGAGTGCTCAGTCCCTCTTCAGGGGACACCCCAGGTCTCCGGATGCCACCTGAATCCACGTGATCCCATCCCAGTTTGGGAACAGCCTCTTCAGCCTCCAGTCTCCCAGATTCTTGAGGGCTAGAGGCAGCCTGGGCCCCCTTGGGGGAGCCCCTTGTTTTGCTCCCCAGATGTTCGACTTGCAGTCCCCTCGGTTCTGGAGTAGCCCCAGAGTTCTGTGATGCCCCTGAGTCCTTGGTCTTAAGAGGCCCCACATCTCCCATGGTTTCAGGGGCACTGTCCCAGTCACTCCCTGAGTTCTCAGGGGAACTGTCCACCCGACTAGGTTCTGGGGCCCGTGGGTCTGGCTTCACTGGTTTCCGGCGGCCCCAGGGGTGTGGTAGCCAGCCACCAAGTCGTCGCAGGAACATGACTGAGGTGTACGACGACCCCCCGATTCTGGGGCCACTTCCTGGCACTACTTAGACTTTTAGAACTCCTCAGAGCCAGAGTTTGCTCAGGCTCAGAACAGGCTGCTTGTGGGTGCTGTCCTACTGACGGCAGATGTGGCTCCCCTCGACGGTCAGGCAGCCTCAATGGCTTGTTTCCTTCTCAGCCTGGGAGTAAGAAAAGGGAGGCACGCTGAGATTCATTCGCCACCCCCACCCCCCCACCACCCACGCACACAAGATTCCAAGAGTCTCAGGATCTGACAAGGCCCGGGTCACCCCCGCAGCGCCTTCTCTGTATTTCCGGATCTCCTTCCCAGCAGGCAACAGCACCCCAAGTTTCACTCACCAAGGCCACTCCCCAAGGTGTCCCTGAAACTGGAGCAGTGGCGCTCCATCCAAGAAGGTGGCCCCCGGTTCTAGGTGCTCCTGAATCTGGGGACTTTAATCTGCTGCGCTAAGGGACCTCAAGGAAGAGAAGTCTCTGCCGGGAGGCGGGATGGAGGTGTCCAGCGAGCTGCAGCCAGCAGCAGTCGTCCTCTGATTTCAGGGCTGTGATTCCTACAGGGTGGCCCGACCAGCCGGCAGGCACGCAGCAGAGACGCGGCCTCCGCAAGGTCAAGACA